TCGCATTGCATGTGGAGACCGTGCCTACCCTAACACGTTGTACAGCCTGTGCAGCGGCATCGGCTCGTAGAAGTGCGCCCTGGTGTCTTCATGTCGCCTCCGACGTCGTCGCCGTGGCATAGCTTTTAGCGCTAGCGATATTGATTGATTTTGATTCTGTCTTTTCTTGATGTATCCGGATCAGGGGACAAGTCATCCCGCAATTAGTAAAGTATCTCTCGCTAGTAGTACGCGCCATTTGCATCTTTCCTTGCAGCTCCAAGTGCCACGTCATACCCTCCAAATTTAATACCTTGGTCGATCCAATCGTAGAGGTACTTATCCATTTGCCGCGGCCACAGATGACCAAAGTTTGGTCATCTGTCATCAAGGGTTTGGTGACCAGACCCTTGGTCATATCCTCCACATCCAATACGAAAAGTATAAAATGGTAGAGGTTCGCGTTCAAAATTAGAACGAGCAATGACCAAGCGCGTCTGCCAGCGTGCCACGTCGCCAAGACTGCCATGCGTCGTGCTGCATGGCATCCTCGCCATGCTGAAGGATGGGCGCGACGTGGCTGCCCTCCTTGCAGCGCTGCCAGCCGAGATGCTATCGCCCGAGCTCCTCGCGCTCCGTGACCTCGGCGCCGCCGTGGACCTCGCCGACCACTGGCCGGTCGTGCATGTCACCACGATGCCGATCGAGCATGTGCGCCTTGGCATGGCCGCGCTACCTGCATTCGCCGGTATCTACGTGGATCCTGGCATCGCCGCCGTCGCGTGGCTGGACGCGACCTTGCCACCGAGGATGCCACTGACGCTGGTCGTGGACCCGTCTGTGCTCGGCACCTGTAGCGCCTTTGCCCGTGTCTGGGGCGACCGTGTCACGACCGTCATTGTCCAAGGCGCCAAGGTCCGTAAGGATCCGGTCCCCGACATCCTCGCGCGCTGCGTCCACGTCCAATCGGTCCACATCGAGTTCTACTTTGTGCCTGTCCATGCGTATATGAACGCTCTCTCGACCAAGCAGCTGCATACGCTCGAGATCGATGAGGGCTGGGGCCACGACGCGGTCAATGCATCGGGCATTGTCGCGTGGCTTCAAGGACCTCACGCGACGTCGCTCTCGCTTGCGTGCAACTCGGTGCGCGATCCGGCAGCGCTGGCGACCGCGATCTACGATTGCTCGCATCTCACGTCGTTGCGCCTCGTCGATGCATTGGACCTGAAAGAAGCCTTGGTGACGTCATCACGGACCTTGCACCACATCACGTCCCTCGCCATCCTCGACGATGGCTTCGATGCCCACTTGAACGTAAGTCTGCTTCGGAAGCTCGATCGCACCAAGGTCGTTTCGTTCTCGCTCGAGAAATGCCTAGGCGACAAAGGCGACGACGTGGTCACGACAAGTGTGCTCGATGCGCTCGCGATGTGTCCCGCGCTGACGACACTCAGCCTCACCAACCTCGACTTGACGGCCGCGAGCCGGTCGACTGGTTTCTGGCCGCAGCTGACCACCGTGCGTGTGCGATCCACGGATTTGGACACGCCGCGAGAGCGTGCTGCGCTTCTCAAGTGGCTCTCGACGTCGCGCTGCTTGACGTCAGTCGATTTGAGCTACACGGCGCTCCAGAAAGAAGGTCTTGTCGAGCTGGCGCGGGCGCTGCCGGCGTGGCTGGCTCGTGGCCTCGAGACGTTGACGCTCCAAGGCGCCGTGCGTAGTGATGATGATGCTGCCATCGTAGCCGTCGGTCTCGCATCAAGCAAGAATCAACGCTCTGTGGCGGTGGATTTGAGAAACAACCATCTCACGATCGCAAGCATCAAGCTACTGATGGCGACACTTGGTGCATGCCAGAACGTCACGCTGCATCTGGATACATTCGTTGAAGCAGACGCGGATGGTCCTGCTTCTGACCATGCCTCGACGATCCAAGACCTCTTACAACTGCACCAGCTACAGCAGGTGTCACCCGGTGTCTTCCAGTCGCCATCCCGCAGCCCGTTACCGTGGCACGCCGTTTAGCGTTCAACGCAGTAATACTACGGCTTTAATGGACCCATGGATTCCGCAATCAAAAGAAGACGCATCCCTCACCTAGTACAAAAGCACATCTAACTTGTCCATACGTACTATATCTACCGACATTGCATGTTCCTGATATCCGCGGACATTGCCAATGCAATCTGGGCACGCCCTGGCGCCACGTCATAACCCTACAAATTCGATCCACATATCGAATCTTAGAGGTAAACCTCATTTGCCAGCAACTTCGAAGATGACCAAGCGCGTCTGCCAGCGTGCCAAGAGCTCGTCGAGCCTGCCAGACGTCGCCCTCCACCGCATTCTCCGCATGCTGGAGAATGGCTGCGACGTCGCCGCCTTCCTTGCTGCGCAGCCGCCGTTGACCCTGCCGCCCGAGCTCCTCGCGCTGCGAGACCTCGGCGCCGCCATCAACCTCGCCGACCACTGGCCTGTTGTCCATGTGACCAAGATCCCAGTCCAGCATGCTCGCTTGGCCATCGCCGCGCTACCAGTGTTCAAGGGCATCCACGTGGACCCGGGTTTTGCGGCGCTCGCCTGGCTCGACGCGACGCTACCGCCGCATATGCCCGTGTCGCTCGATGTCGACCCCAAGGTTCCCGGCGCGCTCTGCGCCTTTGTGCACGTCTGGGGCAGCCACGTCGTCAACGTTGTTCTCAAGGGCCGCTATGTCGAGCTCGACCCGATCCCCGACGTCCTCGCACGCTGCGTCAACGTGGAATCGGTGACCATCAAGAACCGGGCCGGGCCAGAAAAGACAACGACGTACTTGAGCGCAATTCCGATGACGCATTTGCACACGCTCAAGGTGCTTCATGCGGATTGGCATCTTCTGAACGATATCTCGGCCATCGTTGCCTGGCTGCAAGGACCCAAGGCGATGTCGTTGACGCTGGCGTGCGACGCCGTGAATGACCCGACGGCGCTGGCGCGCGCGATCCAAGCATCGACGACGCTCACGTCGTTGCGCATTGTGGACGCAATCGATCTTCAACGCGCGTTGGTCGCCTTGCCCAAAGACTTGCAC